TAAATATCGAAGTCAAAAAGTCAAATCCTCAGTGCATCTGTTCCACCTGAAAGGCGAAGGTGTGCAAAACGTAGCCTAAGCGGTAGCAGAAATCAACTGCAGGGCTGCTGGCATGACTTCTTTTTTTCGAGGACTGTTTAGAAGCAAGCTGATGGCGGGTTTGACTCTTGTTTTTTTAACACGTGTGCCAGTACCAATTGACCATCGAAACGAATGAACGAGTCATAGAGGGATTGGTTGTCTCACTGGCTAAGCCGAATTCCCGGCTTTTCCTTTTAACTCTAATGCTTCTCATTACTTTATTTGATGTTTTCTTCGAAAGTATACCAATTCTGATGCACTTTCTATTGAAGGTGGTATAGAGACTGGTAAATACCAAATTTGATGCATTTGGGTTACCTAAGTATAAAAAGGGCACAAACTAAAGGCATAGAACAAAACTTAGCATAAAATGCAGTATCTCCTAACTCTAATCAGTCTGGTGTTTTTCGGCAGATATTATTTTTTCTGTTATTATTTTATTTCATTTTGAGACTATTGCTTTTCGTCGTACTGACGAGGTTCAGTTGTGGTAATGGTAAGAAATGTATACGATTTAATAGACTATTATAATAATTTTACTATTTTTACTTATTTTTCAATATTCTTTTCACTTCTATTCTTCCTCCTTCTTCAAAATACCTTTCTATTTCATCTATTCGAATAGCAATTTTTACAGCTTTTTCGATCAAAACTGCTTCGCTTGGTGGTCAGTGTGCTGGCAGCCAAGACGTTTGTTTTTATCGCCAAAAAGAATTAGGAACTTTTCGACCCCGTTGACCAAAGCATTTGGCAAGAATTTAGCCGTTTCGAGCTGACTTTGTTGCGCCTTGAGCAGCATCAACATTTTAAATGCACCTACTCCCACGATCTTGATGGGGTACTTTAAATACCAGAAAGCACCAGCAAATGGATTTTTTGAAATTTTGAGCTTCTCTCATCCACATAATTCCTTATTGGGGCTGTTCGAACGGATCTTCTGGCGGTTTTCCCTGTGTTTTTTTAACACTGGATAAACAGCTTTGAGCAATGCAAATGCTAGGAGGAAAATGCCAAAACGACCTGTTATGGTATCACGCGAAGCTTTTGCTAATTTTTGCGCATTTATGGAAAATTCCGAAACATTTATTCGTGGTTTCATCGCGCGGGCACACAGCCGGTTACTAGAGATGAGTTATGATGAAATGAAAAACCACCCATTCAACTAGAACTGAAAAAAACTTATCAAAAACTGAAGTCATTCGTTTATGAAGCAAACGACAAATATCCGTTGTTCGTGCAAATTCGATCAACGCCTTCTCCGGAGTAGTGGACAATCGAAGAAAATGCTAATTTTCCTGCAAATGTACATTTGCTGAGCTAGAATATACTGTAAGTTACCGTAATCGCGTCATAAACAGATGTTATACCGTAATCTACCGTATCTTACCATAATTTATACTACCAAAAAGTTTGCGCCACCGTTTACGCCGTAAATCTGCATAAGTAGATATTTCTGCCTTCTCACTTGGGACACATTTGCTATTTCACATGGTAGTTAGGGTAGTAGTATAAATTGGTAGTTAGGGGGGCTGTACTGATGGTTCCCACCCCTAACCACTCATACAGTTGTCTGTGTTTACAGCTAAGGGATGAAACATAGTATTTCTACATATTCTCAGTATAAGAGATATGAATATGTCACACTGCTTATAATACATATTCCAAAACATTCCCCAATTCCTACCATGCGCATTGGCATATTTCACACGAAATATTTAAGTTGAATTTTCTTTATTCGATTCTATTTAATATTTACGGATTTTTAACTGTACAATTACGACCAGAAACATTCATTAACAGCCTGTGTGGTGATGCAAGTATACACCTGTGAGCATATGTACTGTGCAAGTGCAAGTAGTTTTGTTCACACAATGTACTGTAATAGTACGGTATATTACGGTACAATGAGGAGTTTACAGTAGCGGCGCTAGTTACGGTAAGTCAGTTTTTATGCGTTTCTGAGCACTTATGGAAATTAGAAAACTTATGACCCACGATGTGTGTGTGTGCGTGTGTATGTGTGTGTGTGTGTGTGTGTGTGTGTGTGTGCTTGCGTATATGTCTCTTCAAAATTCCTGGTCAC